AGACACATAATGAGGAAAGAGGGCCTGGTGAATTTGATACTCACGGGTCGAATAGAGGGGAAAGAGAGACAAGAGAAAACAGCGCGTGACATACCTGGCGGACTTAAGGAAGTGGATGACAGAACGTGGTCTGGGGGAGGAAGCAGAGGGAAGGATCTTGTTGAAAGCTGCAAGAGATAGAAGGAGGTGGAGAGCCATGATGGCATACGCCCTGAAAGGACATGGCACATAAAAAAGAAAGAAAGAAGAGGTAGACAGCGTCGGGGCGGAGGAATGGGCTGACAACTGCAGCTAGTGGGAGGGAAGATCATTCGCAGAGACGCACTTGCATGCAACCGAGACATAGAGATGGAACTGGTCAGGTGCTGCGACCACATAAACACACCTGACCATAAAACTGATGCCGACGATATAGCGACAAAGACATTAATTGTACAGATCTCACCTGGTAGGTCTTTTGATTGCATTAGACTGTGACATTCACAAAAATAATCAGATAGAGATGCTCGGACTGGTATATATATATATATATATATATATATATATAGATAGATTGATAGATAAACCTAGTGAGCCAGACAAACCTACCCAGGTTTCACCTACACGGATTTATCTAGGTCTGCTCTACGGTTGTATTGAGCTCTTTTTAGTTAGTTGTTTACTCGTGTCGGTTTTTTTTCTTTGGGCTTCAAACCTGTATCTGTGCGATTTTTTTCCGACAGACTTTCAGACTAGCTCTTTTCTTTTTTAAAACCTTTTTTCCTCGAGATTGATTTGATTATTGGCAAATCAAAATTGAAGGTTTTTCGAAACGAGTATATTTACCTATATATATATATATATTATATATATATATATATATATATATATATATATATATATATTTATTTAGTTTATGAAAAACTGGGTAATCCGTATGGGTAAACCCAAAATTTAAAAAATATTAAATCACTAACAAACATCAAATTAAATTATTTGTAGACAGTCTAGAGACATTCAAATTTATATCAAACATTATAATCTTTATGAACCCCCAAAATAACACTTTCAAAGTAAAACAAAATAACAGCGTCTGTTTCTAACCTGTTTTTTTCCCAAAGAAAATTAGTGACACCTTCTCTCATGACATCCTTCTCTCTTTTTCTCTTTATATGTTTTTTCTCCTCTACCTCTTCGATATCAATATATAACTTCCGTTAAGTTAACCGTTTAAATGTGTCAATGTCTGGACCTCCTGAAATAATTTTAAGTATGAAAGAATAGAAATATTAAATTACATCTAACTCACTCATGTTTTCTCTCTCCCCCCCTCACTTCTTTAATTTACATGTGTGTAATACGGCCCGTCAAAAATGTGTAAATTTCTTTTCATTTTTTGTTTCAACCTTTGGAAGTAAAGTCTGATGATCCGCAGTCCTTTTAAAAGGACTGTGGTGAAATAATTTATTACATGGAACCTTAAAGTGGTCTGTTTTATTTTTATATATATATATATATATATATATATATATATATATATATATATATATATATATATATATATCCAGATAAAAGGAGAAGAAATGAAGTATAATTCCATAGTAAGTAACATTTAATTTAAAAGAGGATTCAATGCATAGTTCAGATAAATATTAGGATATTAAAACATGTTAAAAATCGCTACATAATGGCAATTATGTCTCAACACTATAAATGTGTCTCCTCGGGCGCTGTTAAACTACTGTCGAGCGAAAGATTAATTCAATTTCCAAAGCAGAATACTTTAAAAAATAGGCTTGTGAGCTTTTTGCCGTTATCAACCAAATCAATATATATATATATATATATATATATATATATATATATATATATATATATATATATATATATATATATATATATATATAGTTTTAAGGTTTTATGTTTATATATGTTTGAGACCCGACGGACGACCAAGTATGTATATGTGTCTGCATACATCGATGTTTGCGTTAGTACGATGACATAAGCGACGAAGTTTCCCCCACCACTTCCACAATAACACCAATACACGCAATCTACATAAACCCAAAATTTTAAAAAATTAATAAGTTTGTCTGACGATCGCAAACGCGTGAAACCCAGAGTCACAAACTCACATCTATCCAACCAAATATATATATTTATATATATATATATATATATATATATATATATATATATATATATTATATAGCATGTCATTATTGGTGTTTTGCCCAAAATATTATCTATAAAATAAAATAATAAACAACCTACTTCAAACCGACAAATTCAGCCATGATGATGGTTGACGACAACCGAATGCGCTCGGCAAAGCACCATGGACTAGGGTTTTTTTTTCAACAACTTAGACCAAATTATCAAAAAAAAAAAAAAAAAAAAAAACTTGCGAAAAAGCAAGAAAAACAAAAAAATATTATTAAACGGAAAAGTTTCGTAGTCTTTAACAACACATGTCTCAAAATGTAATGTATATATATATATATATATATATATATATATATATATATGTCAGTGTCCATTTTCAACCCTGGCGTGTATTTGTACCCGATCCACAACAACCACCTTAGTTCCCTTAACCCTCACTATCTATATAACTCCCTCCTCTACAATAGGCTAATTCTTACTCCCTCTCCTTTTATTCTTCCTTTTTTCCTCTTCTTTTCTTCCTTTGCCTTTCAACTTTTTTGTGAAGAAAAGTTTTATTCATTTTAGTAAATGTATTTGCATTGTTAAGTTCTGGGAAAAGACTACTTTCCCATGGACGAAATGATCATGTGTATGAGGTAAATTGTTTAGATCTCATTAATTGTAAATCACTTATATGCTCTATAATAAAAAATATATTGAGTCCTCCTTTGTAGATCAGTTCTAATACTTTATATTAATAGGATCTACTTGGATTACTTACCCACTGACTTTTTTTACCTATATATATTGTATAATTAGGCAGCAATCCTTCATTTATGCATGTTTCATTAAACACGACAGACAAGGTACTACGGTTAAGCTTTTTACTTAATTTTTTTGTGTTCGAACAGGAGATTTCTTTTTTGGACACAGACTGTGTAGAAACTGTATAAATGTTCCGAGCGCTTTCGGCTATAATTTTAGCGATTTTGAAGGATGATTTTATTTTTTCAGTTTAATTGAGTGTGTACGTTATGTGTACGTTTCTATATAAAATTTGGACATTATTTGCATATTATTTTCATCATAAGTATCAGTGCTTCATTATCATGACCTTTGTATAA